AATATATATAGAAAAAATTAGCCAGGCATGGTGGCGCATGCCTGTAGTCCCAGCTACTCGGGAGGCTGAGGCAGAAGGATCGCTTAAGCCCAGGAGTTTGAGGTTGCTGTGAGCTAGGCTGACACCACCACACTCACTCTAGCCCGGGCAACAAAGCGAGACTCTGTCTCAAAAAATAAATAAATAAAACAAAATGCAAACAATATTTAGAGAGTCAAGAAAGAATTTTAAATTAATCTTATTTTTGTGTGGGTAAGTATAAGACAGGTTGTTCATGTAATCTGATAATAGGTTACTGAACCATTAGAAGAAAAGAACAAGAGGGCAAATATCAACATTGTGGTAGGCTTGAGCAGAGCCCAGTGGCGGAGCTTGTGGGGAGCCAAGTCCCTCAGTTTCTTAGGAGGACCTGGTGGGGAGAAATAGAAAAAGGAAACAGGGAGCAATGATACAGCTCCGAATCATCCTTTCCCCCTTAACATTAACTATATAGCTCCTGCTTCTGCCCAAATCTTTTTCTGAAAGTGCCTAAGAAAAATGTACAATACGGGTTCTGAGAAGAAATCCAAATGCCTATGTTCTACATCTGCGTTACAAAGGAGAAAATACATTTTTTTTTCTAAATGAAACTATCCAAAATTCAACAACCCAAACCCTTATAATTCTCAGATTAGTCATGAATAGTGAATATGAAACATTTTTAGTTTCCAGAAAATAGAGAGAACTTAACTGAATGAAAATCTTACATAATATGTTAATCAATGTAACTTGTAAAAATAATAGCTACAAGACTAATGTGTGTGAATCTATTTTATTTGGGGCTGGAGAGTAATAATGGGTATAATTATGTGAGATTGCAAATGGTCATAAAACAATTGTTCATTCTTATGAGGAGCACTACCTTTAAATCTTAACCTTTCATATCTTCATACTTTACAGACCTTATGTGCAGGAATGAGGTTAATAAGAATGGAGTCCAATAATTCTTGAGTAACTCCATCACCTTCCATGATGATAGAACTCATCAAGTCTAGCATGTGCATTTGTACCTTCTTATTGTGGCTGTTGCTAAAAAAAAAAAAAGAAGAAGAAGAAGAAGATAAGAAAGAAAATTCAGGCATTCAAAAAGAAAATTAAACTTTCCAGTTTAAAACAATAATCTCAGACATAAAAGGATTTTCACTTGAGGGAACAGTGCCAATAATGGCAAAGAAATTTTGGTTACTCTATTTACTTTCTACTACTACCAAAGTTGTTAAGGTATTGTTGTATTTTACAAAAACAAAGACCAACATAATTTCTAATAAAGTATATTTTCTTCCATTCGCATTAAAAAAAGAAGAGAAAGACTTTTATAATAAATTAAGTCTCTACACAACTAGGACTCTAAGAGCTAAATTCTGCCTAATAAAAATGTCAACCTGAAAGAAAGGATATTTTTGCTTACATGCCCCAGATTTTACATGGTGATAAAATTTTACATAACAGAACAAAAAAATATATAACATAATGAATGTGGACAGTTTTTTCAACCTTTTCTCCCCTCTTGGATTTTAACAAATTCCTCAAAATAAGATCAAAACAGATTTAAACACCCCCAAACACCTAAGCCAACACAAGTAATTTTTGCTGTACCTTTGCCATTAGAGGTTTTACTTCACCAACACTGAAAATCAAAAGCCTGATCTAAAGTGCTTACCATAACTTATAACTAGAAGGTTCTGAAAATGTCATTCTGGTATCTCTCAAAGAATTTCAAACAGACAAATGAAAAATCAATACGGTATAAAAAGTAAGGACAAGAATCAGTTTCAAGTGCTTGTCCAGTGAGGTTTGCCCTTTCTTCCTACTTTTTGTTTGTTTTCAGAGACAGGGTCTTCTCTGTTGTCCAGGCTGGAACTCTTGGGTTCAAGCAATCCTATTGCCTCATCCTCCTGAGCAGCTAGGACTACGGACACCTACCACCATGCTTACCTGGCTAATTTTTAAATTTCTGGTAGAGATGGGGGGGTCTTCCGATGTTGCCCAGGCTGGTCTTCAACTCCTGGTATCAAGCAATCCTCCTGCCTGGGCCTCCCAAAGTACTGGGATTACAGGTATAAGCCACCATACCTGGCTTTTCTTGTTACTTTTGAAACCTAGTCAGCATATGAAGAAGCTAACCTGCAGATAACAAGGTATGTGACCCAGTTCTCCTACTACCTCAGCCAACTGCCAGATGTCCTGCCAAGTGTCTGCAAACACTGGAGTAAATCTAGTCCAGACAAAAACTGCCAAGCAGAATCCCAGGCTATATAAAATATTGGTTGTCTTAAACTATCAAGTTTTTAGGTTGTTTTGTCATGCAGCAAAAGCTAATTAATACAAAGGTAAGGTTTCTTTATTCTGTCATTTATTTTAAGGGCCTACTGCTAGTCAAATGCCACAAGAAGCTTTTTCTCATACAGTCTTTCCATAAGCTTCTATCTCTAGACCAGGCTGGTCTGATTCTTTCCTGTTTATTCCAGGTTAACACCTAGTCCTACTTTTCTATCTAAGGAAAAGGAAAACATAATACAACAGTCATAAAAATCTACAGAAAACTCTAGAAACAGGCTGCCCAATACACAAGCCATTAGACACATTTGGCTAATGAACACGTGAAGTATGAAAACGGTCACATGTTGAAATGATAATACTTTTGGATAGAGTGGGATAAATTATTAAAATGAATTTCACCTATTTTACCTTTCTTAATGTGGCCATTAGAAAATTTAAAATCTGTGTAAGATATCTTATGTTCATTTGCATATAATATAATGTTCTAGAACTGTGGTCCCCAACCCCCTGTTAAGAACCAGGCTGCACAGCAAGAGTGAGCAGCAGGCGAGTGAACCTTCATCTGTATTTACAGCCACTCCCATCACTGGCATAGGCTTCGCCTCCTGTCAGATCAGCGGCATTAGGTTCTCATAAGAGCACAAACCCTATTGTAAACTACGAACACGAGGGATCCAGGCTGCACACTTCTTATGAGAATCTAATGCCTGAGGATCCGAGGTGGAGCTGAGGTGGTGATGCTAGTGCTGGGGAGTGGCTGCGAATACAGATTATCATTAGCAGAAAGGTTTGACTGCACAATAAATGTAATGAGCTTGAATCATCCCAAAACAATCCCCCCAACCACCCAGAGTGTGGAAAAATTGTCTTCCATGAAACCAGTCCCTGATGCCAAAAAAGGTTGGGGACCGCTGCTCTAGAACACATCTCATAGCTTGGTTTACTACACTAAAAACAAACAAAAAACTGTACTATACTGAAATTAGAGCTTGGGCTTTCCTGTCCAGCAATTTGTCTTCTGGTTAGACACCATATAGGGGTGGGGAACCTGCAGCCTTGGGGCCACATGTGGCCTTCTGAATCCTTTAGTGCAGCCTTTTGACTGAATCCAAATTTTACGGAACAAATCCTTTTTATTAAAGTACTACTAAAGTTTAGTACTTCATTGTATAAATTCTCATACTATCTGCTTTATGACTATATGTTGTTGCCTCTATTGGATAATAAGTTTCACCAAAACAAGGGCTCTGCTTTATATTTCTGTATTGTTTCATAGGCCCCCAACCCAGACTGGGGCACAGAGTCAAATAATAAGTTGATATCATAGTTTAAAATGAAAGTATGAGGGCAAAGTCAGCTTTCAGACAACAGAGTTTTTGTTTATTTCCCTCTTTATGTTAAATCTTGTAAGAACAATTCCTTATAACTAAAAGATCTTAGTGTACATGTAGAATACATGACACTTCAATATACACAGCAAGAAAAAGAGACAAAAATGCTTAAAAGATAACTTACTTGATCACTGAGAAAAGAGTCCTAAAAAGTTGAATAAAAATTTCATTGCAATCTTCCAAATCAAAGCAGATGTTATATGATTTAACCCAAGCTAGATTCTAAGACAAATAAAAATATTTAATTACACATACACAAACTCAAAAGCAAACTCATTAGTAAAATTTATTTTTTAGAATTAGAAATCTACAGTAAAGCCTATAAAGACAAAACATAAAATTACAAGTGTTAAATTCGTCATGTACTCTGACTTTTAAATATATATAAACATGATGGCATCAACTTTCTCAAATTGAAAAATACTAAATATTTTTGTGTTGGTAGACATATACACAGAAAATTCAAGGAGCAGTGAAAATTAATGTTTTTAGATTAGAGAATAAATAGAAAGATGAAATTATAAGTTATAGTTTCAAATAATCTACAGTTTTTCCAGTAGAATATGCTTTATCTTTCCAGGATATGAAGAATAATAAAAAGATTGGATTTTCCTTATGAGATGTAAAAGACATTTTATTAAATGGGCTCTGTATAAAACCAAAAAAGACCCATTTTACATAATGAAGTTACTATGAATAATTTGCTACCACATAAAATAATGTGATATTTATTAAATAAAGTTTATTTTTTTACCTCTAATAAATAAAAGTATCTATTAAACTGCGGACTCTTTGTATCCTCCAAACCTTTTAATTGTCTGGTAATAAACAAAAATATGTCCTGTTAAAAAAAATGATAAAATATATTAATTTAGACACAAAAACTTTTCTTTCACAACACATTAGTAGTCTGTATGTACATTATCTGTTACAAATTACAATAAAAGAAAATTCTTCAGCTGGATGCCTTGGGACTGGCCTAGTCCATTGTTTAAAATAACTAAAAAAGATCAAATCATATAAAACCATATTCTCTATAGGCAAAATAAAGAGCGTCACTTCCACAAATCTTCAGGTTTTCTTATTCTGAGAGGACAACAGGTTCTATATGTTATCACTTTCCTCTACTATCGTGCTTCCACTTCACTTATCTTTACCTTGCATCACGGCAAACAATTCTCTTCATTTTAAGAAGCTGGATATGAGTCTTTCCACTACTATTGCCTACATGTAAATAGTATTATAATTTTCAGCAAGTAGTTTTGAAATTGATGGGTGACGAGCTGTGTAGAACAAAGGCAACAGACTAGTTCAAGGTTTGTATTTTTCATGATAGTGCTCCATAACTTAATAAGCTTTATTTAGAAGTTTTAACTCAAAATGATATCAATATGGTACAAAATGATTTTTGGACTATTTTAAAGAAGGCAGTTCAAAGGATTAAAATTTGCCAAGAACAAAATTACTCAAAATATGAAATCACCTCAAAAGATCAATTTAAAGAAGAGTTCTTCAAACATTTGAACAAAGAACCACCAAGATAAGCATATAGTTTTGCAGACAGAACAATGTGCAAATTCTGGTACTTTATTGTTTTAAAAAGTATCGTTAATTTTCTATTTATCCCTTGAACGTAGACATCTGGGCTTTGTGATGGATTCTCCAGAAAATTAAGTATGAGCAGATAGAGCCTAGTTTTGAATTACACCTTTCTATGCCTCATACAAATCGTCATGGTGTAGATACTCAATAAATAGTAACTGAATGATTAGTTTTGCAACTTACGATATAATCTTAAGATGATGAGATTAATAGGAAACCTATGCTCATAAAGGTAAACTAGACTATAAAGACGAAATGATTCTATAAAGACTGCATTTACCTTAAGTTTATCGTGAGACGTATATGGAGCTTCTGGGGCATAGATTCGAAAGATGTCAGCCAAACAACATGCTACAAGGAGACGCACATCTTTATTGGGGTTCCTGAGGAAGAATTCAGAAGCAAGATGCAAGGCCAGTGGCAGATACTGCTGTTTTTCATCTTCTGAGTCCTGATCCATATCCATAAATGTTTTTACTACCATCTGTAATAGTGTATAAAAAACAACATAATCAACCTGGTATTTAGAAATCAGTGGAGGATGCATTTTTTTTTTTAATCGTCTCCATTACAACACGAACTAACAATCAGTTACTACAATCAGAGGGTTCACAAATTTTTATAAATCTTCACTTAAGAATTTGGAAAAAGATCACAAGCATGAAATGACTAATCTCAAAGAAATTTATAAATAAGCATCAACTTTTGCATTACTCATATACATGCTATCTGCATCAGCACCTGATTTATAAAGAATTTAAGCTGGATGTGGTAGCTCACACCTGTGATCCCAACACTTTGGGAGGCCAAGGTGGGGAGGATTGCTTGAGCCCAGGAGTTCTAGACCAGCCTGGGCAACATAGTGAGACCCCATCTCTACAAAAAAAATAAGAATAGAAAAAATTAGCCAGGTGTGGTGGCACACCTGCACTCCCAGCTACTTGGGAGGTTGAGGCAGGAGGATCTCCTGAGCCTAGGAGTTGGAGACGGCAGTGAGCTATGATCACACCGGTGCACTCCAGCCTGGGAGACAGAGAGAGGCGCTACATCAAAAAAAAAGAAAAGAAAAAAGAAAGAAAGAAAGAAAGAAAAGAAACAGAAAAAGAAAGTATTTAAGACTCTTTCATTTATTTTATATATACCCCAGTAAAAAGTTCCTGGCCCCACACAGACAACCAAATTCACTTGATATTTGGCAACATCACTGATTACATTTCTGTTATATTTTATTATCAAAGCTGCCTTGTTTAGACTTCTTAAAGCTGCTATTTCATTTCACAATTTAATAGGTTTTGCACCTCACAATAAAAAGCCATGTTTAAATACTTTTACATAGTTGTACTGCTGATTAAAAGCTTTAATTATAAATAACCCCTGCTGGTATTTATGGTTATAAAAGTAAGAAATGCACATTTTAGAATTACTATAAAATGCAAAGGAGAATAATGGAAAAAATGAAAGAAAAATCCATAATTTCTCACCCTTAGAAAATAACCACTATTTACATTTTTGTATATTTATGCTAGTCTGTTTTCTCTGTAAATATGCAAGTTACTATATTTCTCTCAAATAACAACATCCTGATACCTTAAAAATTCTTCTCTAATCATAAATCATAGTTCGTGTAATTTGTCACCATTGTCAAATACTGAAGCTGTACTTCTATTTCTGTTTTGCCAAGACTTTTTGCCATAAATATGTTAAATTTTATCACATTTTTTTGGGCACCTGAGATTATCATATTTTCTCCCTAATTCTGTTAATATAATAAATCCCACTGGCTGATTTTCTAATTTTAATCCAAGTTCACATTTACAAAGTCTAATTTTATTAATTTTAGTCCAAGTTTGCAATCCTAAAATAAAGCCAATTGGTCATTAAACTTTTATGTATCATTATATTTGATTTGCTATTATATTGCTTCAATTTTTGCAACTAATACATGAAAGAAATTGGCTTGTAACTTCTTCAGACAACCTTGTCAGGTTTTAGTACTAAAGTTACATTGACTTCAAATAAATTGAAAAGTGACCCCTCTTTTTTCCTATGATAGTACATTTAAAGTTTGATAGTAAAATTGGCTTTATTTCTTCCTTAAATATTTAGGGAAATTCAACTGATCAACAAAGGAATTATAATGGAAATTAGAAAATATTTTGAACTGAATAATAATGAAAATATAAACTATCGAAACTTGTGGGATGTGGTTAAAGCTGTACGAAAGGGAAATTTATAACCTTAAAATGTGTATACTACAAAAGGAGGCATGAAAAATCAATGACATACATTTCCTTCCCAAGAAGTTATAAAAATAGCAAATTATTGATAAATCCCCAAAAGGTACAATCAAGGGGGGGAAAGGCAGTTAAGAGCAGACAGCAATGAATTGGAAAACAAACATACAAAAGAGAAAACCAACAATGCCAAATGTTGGTTATTGTAAAGACTAATAAAATTGATAGATCTTAGCAAGAATAAATCAAAAAAAGATATAGAAGTCACATATTACCAATATCAGGAATGAAAAAAGTGGACATGTAATTACACATGCTAATAATAATGATGATACATTACGGGGAAAAGAAAACCTGACATATGAAATACAACATCTGAATAATTCTGTTTCTATGAAAAGAAATTGAATCTGGAATTAGAAACCTTTCCACAAAGAACTCCAATGCCAGCTGACTTCATTGGTGAAAAGTCCCAAACTAAACAGTTTTATATAGAAGTGCATAGTATTAGCTACTCTGCTCATATCAAGCCTCTCTCTGCCATTCTGTTGTTACGAATACATATCTTGGTTTGGAAATGCAGTCACTGGTGAGAATCCACTTTTATTTTATATTTTATTTTATTTTATTTTATCTTATCTTATTTTATTTTATTTTGAGACAGAGTCTCACTCTCTTGCCTGGGCTAGAGTGCCGTGGCATCAGCCTAGCTCACAGCAACCTCAAACTCCTGGGCTCAATCCTCCCTCGATCCTCAACCTCGATCCTCCTGCCTCAGCCTCCCAGGTAGCTGGGACTACAGGTGCGTGCCACCATCCCTGGCTAGTTTTTTCTATTTTTAGTTGTTTTGGCTAATTTCTTTCTATTTTTAGTAGAGACGGGGTCTCGCTCTTGCTCAGGCTGGTCTCGAACTCCTGAGCTCAAGCAATCCTCCCGCCTCGGCCTCCCAGAGTGCTAGGATTACAGGCGTGAGCCACCACGCCCGGTCAGAATCCACTTTTAAAGTACAGTCATGCATCCAATGGTGATACATTCTGAGAAATATGTTGTCAGGTGATTTCATCATTTTGTGATCATAGAGTATACTACACCCTGGGCTATACAGTATAGCCTATTGCTCCTAGGCTACCGGAGCATCTGTACACCATGTTACTGTACTGGATACTACAGGCAATTTTAACACAATGTTAAGTATTCGTGTATCTAAACATCTAAACATAGAAAAGGTATAGTAAAAATATGGATATTATAATATAATCTTATGGGACCACAGCCATATATATGGTCCACTGTTGACTGAAACATCATTATGTGGCACATAACTGTACAAATATCCCTGTGAAAGTTAATACCTATTAAATCTTTTATCCTCATTATCTATTAACATTTTAGTAAAGATTGTTATCCAGTTGAAGAAATGACAGAAAATGACACCTCGAGTTTAAGGGCACAAAAATGGAAGATGTGAAAAAATCAAACATAAATTATATAATAACTTTGGTAGAATTAGAGAGACCACCTGAAATCATCTTATAAAGGTCCCTTCTACACAGACATAATTCATCTACCCTCAACCAACAAAAGGCTCGAAACTCATATTACAGATAAGCAAACTAAGAATCAGAGTTTAAAAGTCTCCTAAGTTGACAAAAGTCCAAGGTGAGAACATACAAACCACGGAGATATTAGGCTTTTATCTTGAAGGCAAGAAAAAGCCACTTACAACCCCCCACCGCTAAATCTGGCTTTTAAAATTAAAAAAGAGAAAGAAAGAAAAAGGACAAAAAAGAAAAGAAAAAGCCACTGAATTGTTTTGAGAAATAGCATAATCAGATTTGTATTTCATGAAAACACCTCTTTAGTTAAAAGGTAGCCAGTAAAGAAATGTCTCACTCCCAAGGTTGATGAAGCCATCAAAGCTAACTTAGCTGGACTTTGAAGTCATTAGAGGCATCTTACTAAGTATTCTGAAGCAGTCAGAGCAAGTTTAGTAGGAGGTAAGAGATGACATGAATAGGGCAAACTGTATTCCTAAATACCATAGCTAAAGAGTTTTAGATTTTATTATATAGAAATAGGAATCATCAAAAAACATTTTTTGGCTGGGTGCGGTGGCTCACGCCTGTAATCCTAGCATTCTGGGAGGCCGAGACGGGTGGATCACTTGAGGTCAGGAGTTCGAGACCAGCCTGAGCAAGAGCGAGACCCTGTCTCTACCAAAATTAGAAAGAAATTGGCCAGACAACTAAAAATATATATACAAAAAAAAATCAGGCAGGCATGGTGGCCCATGCCTGTAGTCCCAGCTACTTGGGAGGCTGAGGCAGAAGGGCCGCTTAAGCCCAGGAGTTCGAGGTTGCTGTGAGCTATGATGACGCCACAACACTCTACCCTGGGCAACAGAGTGAGACTCTGTCTCAAAAACAAACAAACAAACATTTTTTTTTAAGTAGAAGCTGGGTATAGTGGCACACGCCTGTAGTCCCAGTTACTTGGGAGGCTGAGGTAGGAGAATCACTTGAGGCCAAGAGTTGAGGCCAGACTGGGCAACATAGGGAGACTCCAGCTCTTAAAAGAATTTAAATTAAATTTTTTAAAAATACTTTTTTAAGTAGAAAAGAAAGATGTGTATTTGTCATCTACTGCTATATAACAAAATACCCCCAAACTCAGTGCCTTCAAACAATAAACATTTATTTATCATACAGTTTCTGTGGATGAGTAGCTTGGCTATGTGTTTTTGGTTTATAATCTCTTATGAGGTTCTATCTGGTGCAGTTGTAAGGCTGCAGTGATCTGAAGGGTTGACTGGGCCTGAAGGGCGTGTTTCGAAGGTAATTCACGCGTGGGGTTATAAGGTGGCACTGGTTGTTTTCGAAAGACCTCAGTTCCTATCTATGTGGGCCTCTCCAAACCATTCGAGTACCCTCATAAAAAGGCAGTTGGTTTCCCCCAAGTGCATGATCCACGAAAGCCGTCTGTTTTTTTGTTTTTTTTAACTTCACTCAGCTATAACAGGAAGAGAGCAAGTCTTAAGTGACAGTCTTTTATGATCAAACCTCGAAAAGCACACACTGTCACTTCCACAACAGCTTATTAGTTACTCTGTCAGCCCTGTTTAGTGTTGGAGGGGCCTACACAAGGGAGTAAATACAAAGAAATGAGGATCATTCGGGTAACCTTGGATGCTGACTATAATACTATGCCTCCTGATACTTATACCTTGCATAGTACTCTCCCACAATTACTC